TGCTACATCATAATTTAACATGTCTGATAGAAGCTAGTCAAGTGCAGCAAACCCCATGGGTCCAGTTTCCATGAAGAAAAAAAGTCGAAAGTTGGTCATCATATTGATACTGAATTCTAGTCTGTTTTTACCTTACAAAGATCTAAATCAACAGCACTCCTTGTTAGATGATTTTGAGAGGTCCTGCTTTGTACAAATTTAAAAATTATAGCTAGTGTAAGTATTAAAGTTGACCACTGCAGATTTTTACTGAATTAAAGCGGACAGAGTTTCCAGGCTAAAGATTAGGAGCAATTATTTATAACTATTATATTATTTATTTATTTACAAAACATTTTAATTTTAATTTACTTAAAAGTACTAGGTAGTTATTAGGTAGTAAAAAGTCAAGCATAAATAATTGGAATTCACTGTACTTAACAAGTTTATATCTTTGTCTTTTCTCCAAAAGCCATTTCTGTCTGTCTGTATGCCTGTCTGTCTTCCTAGGAAATATGTACTAGTACTTCATCCCCAGTTGAAGATGTAATAGACTCTTTGCCAAAGATTGCATAATCACTGTTTTCAATTAGTCTGCTATTTCTGTGCAGTTCTAGTAATGAAGAAATTACTTCACATATCATTAGGTAGAATATGCATGTAACAGATGTTAGCTTGCAGGAAAAATGTCAACAGCAAAATAGGCGATAACGATGCAAATTGAATGACCTAAGTACTAGTAAACTTATACAACTACAGAGGAGACTTGGCAGAATTTCATACTTTCAGTGCAATACCTGTGAAAAAATCTGTAAGCCATTGAGGGAAAAAAGTCAAAACACCTGCTTTCAGTTGAGCCATCAGTTTTATCTGCTCTGTAGAGTGAATCTGCTGAGGTCCTGTAGAGAGACCATGGTGTGCACCCTGGTTTTATAGACCTCAGAAAACTCACCTGAGCTATCATTATATATATATATATCTGCTAGCTTTTGTATTATTATGAATAGAATGGAAATATAGGGCAGTGTTCACAACCCGTTTATCCTCTGACTAAGACCCCATTCCCATAGATTTTAGATCGATCTATCCCTGTGGGGAGTCTCACTAGATTACTGTCAGCTTAGCCAGCTTAAGCGTCTGTCCCGCCTACTAAAAGCTGTAAGGGGGTAATTAACTATGGTGCGCGCTCGGCTGACTGCAATTTAACGTGAACCCCCAGGGAGTTAGGTCGATCTAAATCTAAAACACTAGATCGATCTAAATCTCTGGGAATGCACCCTAACAGATCTACTTGAAAGATTGCTGCATTGCCCCCTATAGACACTGAACAGATTCCCTGCAGGGATTATGCAGCAAGCTTTCAGATGGGTCGGCCATATTTGATCTGCGGATCAGTTAGTCCTTGGATCTACTTAGGTTGTGAATGGGGCCTTATGCACTGGCATGTACTGGTGAAAATGTATAGATTTGGTCCTAAGTATAAGCTAAGGCAGATAAAAAAATACTATATTATATATATATATATATATATATATATATATATATATATATATATATATATATATATATATATATATATATATATATAGCAGCACTCCTTGTCAAAGGATATGGTTTCAGCTTTAAGTTTGGAAATTTGGTTTGTTTCAGTGCTTGAATATTTATTTGTTTCATAATACCCACAGGGAATCCAATCAGTGTCTATTAGGGGATTAGATGGTAAGCTTATAGGTGGGTCACCATATTTAATCCGTGGACTAGTTAATCAGCTATTCTGAGTGTGGCTTATGTGTAGTAAAGAGGCATGCTGAGGGATGTCATAGGGTGCTTTCCCAGAGATTTTGATCGATCTAAAGATAAGTTTTAGATCGACATAACTCCCTGGGGGTTCACGCTAAATTGCAGTCAGCCGAGCGGGCACCATAGTTAATTACCCCCTTACAGCTTTTAGTAGGCAGGACAGACGCTTAAACCCGCCAAGCTGACAGTAATCTAGTGAGACTCCCCATAGGAATAGATCGATCTAAAAATCTATGGAAATGGGGTGATAGATTTGCGTTGATCAAGCTGAGACTTCCCAGTGCTGATGGGTTGCAGTATGTGTAATAAATAATACTGCCACCATAAAATTATGTCATCAAGTTCATATGCCCATGGCTGTAAACTTGAAAAGAGCGATCAATATATTTGAGTACGTAATGAGTTAAAAAAAAAAAGCTTAATGATTTTGATTTTGTTACAATTACACTACTTTACAGGTGAGACAAAATTTGTATCCAAAAGTTTTTTTTTTTGGTGGGGGTTTACTTGCAAGTAGAATGTTCTGGAGAGAGAAAGAAAGGCAGAATACAGTGTGTGTGTGTGTGTATGTGTGTGTGTGTTTGACTGAGAGGGCATGAGAGAGAGAGAGAGAGAGAGAGAGAGAGAGGAGTAGTAGTGGCAGCTGAAATATCGTCCCTCATATCAAATATCATATAATATATTGATCTCATTATGAAAACTGAATGCTGTCTAGTTCACAACATCCCCGGCAGACAGCTGAGATTCAAACTAATCACTCTGGCATTTTTAAGTTCTCTTGTGACAGATATAATCACGCAATAAATCTAGCAGAAAATGAAACTTCTGATACAAATGTCTATAGCCAAGCCCTCATTATATGCAGAGGTTATATCATTAATGAAAGGATTCAGCTGCATGACTCAAAGTAAAGGTAAAACAGGAAGCATTTCTCTTATAATTTGATTTGTCTCTCCATATTGAAAATTTCCCCTTCAAATCAGATGTTATTTATTATATTTACCCACACAAACTCCTTTGATTAATTTTCTAGTAAAGAACTTAAGTAACACTACATGTATCAGTGCTGAATTAATTAAATTTGTCTCCATCATGATTCACTGTATTCCTGTACACTCTGTGAATGATGTGAAAAAAAAAGCAATATACAGTACGCAATTTTTGCTATTGAGAAAAAAAAAGATGAACAAAAAGATATACAGCTATGGCTGTCCTTTGGGAGAGTTCTGCCATGTATCATTTAAATGTTCACAAACTGGATCCATGATTGTGTCAGTTTTACAGTTGATTATATAATGAACTAGAAGTCACAGTTATCTTGCCTCGAGCAAACCGGCACAAACTAGATGACTGTTATGCTCTGTGTACAAAATTGGATGTTGCGAGAGATAAGTGCTACAGTAGCGAGTATAAATGTTAAGGGAGATGCAGTAGTACGTGTAGTAGAAGTAGTGAAAAGCATCCAGGTAAAGAATTTCTATGTAAGGCAAGCATGCAAGATGAGCCCCTCTGGCATTTCTGAAGAAAACGATACAAGTCTTTTGAAGATGTTACGAGTACAACCTCTAACCAGGCGCCCTGGGTTTCATGTTTTTACTGGAAACGGCAGAAGCATATTGATATGGTAGAGAGAAGCTTCCAGTGGCCATTGTAAATGCGGATGCCAGATAAGCAAATGTCTACTTATGGTAATTACTCGATCTTTTCATTGGGGAAACATTGTTCATTTTACAAATATGTACTTTATTTTGAAGTCATAATTTCTTAAAATTAGAACACTCCTTTTGAGTGGTAGCAATATAGTTAAAAAGCGGGCTACTCTAGTTCTGTTCTTTGCAGTAGAAGCACCAGAAATGCCATTTAGAAATATAATTTTTGTGATTCTAAAATCATGTGTCTGAAAGTTTGATAATTTTCCCCTTTAAAAATTACCATACTTGTCTGCTGTGGTGGGGATGGATTTTCCCATTGCATTAAATATCAAGTTAGAAAGATCATGTTTCTGAAAAAACAGTGTTTCAGGTATGTGGGCGTGAAATTCCCAGAGAGTTGGCAAACGGCTCTTGCTGAGCAGCTGGTCCACATGAAATTATGGTTAGAGTCCAGTTCTCTTCAGATTCAATTTAAAACCTGTCCCCAGCAACATATTGTCTGGCTTGATGCAGCAGGATTTGTTGTTTTAGGTATTTTAAGATATGTGCGATCTTGATCTGAGATGTGGAAAAGAATCTATTTTATCAAGTGTACTTGGAACTAACTGACCTCTCAATGGCCACCTAGAACAATATTGCAAAAGGTCCCCAATGTGACATCCTGTGTCATCAGAAACTTGATCATGTTACCTTGTGTCTGCCAGATCTGCTCCATGTACAGTATATATCAGACATGAGCTTTTTCCTCGGAAACACGGAATTCCGCTTTTTTAATTCAGTTCTGATGGTTCCTGAGATTCGTCAAGATCTGCAATAAAACGCTGAGTGATAAACGTTCAGAGGTTTTTCTTAAAACCTAGCCTCATGTCTGTTATTAATGTTAATCCATGCTTCTGGTGCTGGTGACTTATGATCCCTCTTTGTGGATTTAAGTTAACCTTTATGTGAATACCTCTAATTGATTTAGAAGAAGGCTTAGACAGCGAAAGGATAACAGCAGCATGAATTCTCTTTAACGTAGGTGTGATTAGATTAAAAATCTTGCATGTGATATCAGCAGTGGGTATAGCATGTTATTTTGCATTTGGTTAAATGATGCAGATGAGATGTGTTCAGTGTAATTGCAGATTTGTTAACTGTAATGTAGATATTTTTGAAGGTACTACAGTATTTCAAGTGTAAGCTGCATGTTATGGAAACTTAGATCAGGTATATCTTTGTTTAAGTTCTTCTGTTTAGATATCTTAGGACATAAAAAGTTTGCTCATAGTGATTATAGTTCTGTTCTGTATAAATTATTATTATTATTATTATTATTATTATTATTATTATTATTATAATCAAGCCCATAGCCAGCAGTTCTTTCTTGATATGAAATATGACCTACTCAATAGGTAGACAAAGATTTCATCAAATTTTCATGGTTTAAGCTCTGATTTTTCAGAAAAAGACTGCTCCCCCCCTCTTTTTTTTTTTTTCAATTGTTGGCTATGGGCCTGATGACTATTATTATTATTATTTATTCATTTATTTATTTTTTACTATTATTATTATTCTATGTATCTCCAGGGTATAACCAGCATGTTCAGCCTCAGTGGACGTCTGTACCGAGTTGACCAGGTTCCGGGACAGTTTCGGGAACTCTTCATCCTCAGTGGCTACCGTCACCCAAAGAGCTCCGCCAAACAGTGCATCCTCAGCGCCTTTGACGTAACCAACGAAACGCTCAACATATGGACCCACTTCCTGCCCGCGGTATATTTTGCCTGGTGGTTCGTGGAGTTGGCACAAGAACATGACTTTGTTAATGATCCGTACACGTGGCCTTTGCTCGTGTTCACGTTTTCTAGTATGGGTTATCTCTTGGCTAGCGCCATTGCACACACTTTTAACACAATGTCAAATAAAGCACGCCATATATTCTTTTTCCTGGATTATGCAGCCTTGAGTAATTACAGCCTCGGAGCCGCCATTGCGTTTCGGGCGTATTGTTTTCCTGAGGTGCTGCGTAACATGACATTTTACTCTGATTGGTACGTCAGGGCAGCCATTTTTAACTCCGTTGGCTGCACTGTGTTATCATGCCAGTCGCGATTTATGGCTCCTGGAAAATTGCGTAAAGTGTGTCGTTTGGGGGCATTTGTGATTCCTTTCTCTTTTGATGTTGTGCCTCTGGTGTACAGGATGGTGTTTGCTGGCGATGAAATGCTCGTAGACAGGGCGTACATGTACCACACACGTCAGCTCTTCTTCGCCTTCCTCGCTGGTTTGCTGTATGCATCTCACATGCCAGAACGACTTCTCCCAGGAAAATTCGACTACGTTGGTCATAGCCATCAACTCTTCCATATTGCTGGGGTCCTCGGCAACTGCAGTCAGATGACCGCCATTTTGTACGACATGTTGGACAGAAAAGACATCTTGGTCAGGGAAGATCGCCTGTTGCCATGGTCGTACACAGTGGTTACCATGGGAGTTGTTACCATGGTGAATCTGATAACAATATTTGTGTTTTCCACATACCTGACAAAGGATAGGCTAAAGTTGATGTCAGATGACAAACCATGTAATAAATGCCACTGATCAGGGCCAGCTAAGTTGAGGAAGTGAAAGAGTTAGTGACTCAGCACATTGTGAGAATAGGAAAAACTTTCAGTATTGCTGAATGGGATTTTCCTAACAGTCAGAGATGACAACAGTGAAAGGATCTGCATAAGAGTGACTACCCCTGCTTGAAACTTATGTATATAATACAGACTGAATAGTAGAGGTTTGCTCTTCTATGAATAGTGCATGGGCTACCGTACACCCCTTCACCCTGTAGCGTTTTTCATAGAATAAGCTAATACTGCATAGCTATATATTTATATGCCATGGACTGTAACTTCTGTATGGCAGCTAGTGTGTTAGATGAGTGTCGTGGCAAAGTGTTCGGGAAAGGAGTGAAATTTTGGATATATGCCTTTTTTTCTACATGTAGCCATAAATATATCTTTGAGGATGATATAGTGAAAGAGGAGGCAGTTTTTTTTTTTTTTTTTTTTTTTTTTTTTTCAGGTATGAGAGTTAAATGAATGTCTGTGATCATGTTATGCATGCACTTGTGTTAGATATGACATTGTGTTGCATGTGACGTAATTGGGCATGCAGTTGTGTTAGTTGAGATGGCGAGTTCTCTGTGATTGCGTTACACCCATAATCATTTTAGGTGTGATATTGTATGTAAATAAAGTATGTTAGATTTGTCTGAGATGTGCCACTGGGTGCCATTGTTTGGTAAACCCTGGGGTTTTGTTCCAGCTGTAGGTAGATAATCTTGTTTTCCTACATACCCCTGTGACCTGATGATCTAGAATGGATTAGTACTAGTATACAATTTTTGTACTGGAATACAGGGTAGTGTGTTAGGGGTGTATGTTGAAATTGGCTGTGCCTTATGCTTCTTAGGAACGGTAGCAACAATCATAGTGTGTAAAAAACATGCCAGTTGTAAACACTCATGTGAATTTTATATTGAAGTTTACCAAAACCATTCATATTACTTTTGAGAGATGCCTTAATGGGTGCAAAACACTCAAAACCTCATTTGCTCAGCAACAGTCTTCAGCAATTTGTCTTCTTGATCAAGGCAGTTGTGAGATACCTTTATATACATTTATATTTGCACACAGTTACCTTATATTGCGTAGTCATATTCCTGGTCATTTTGAAGAGAGTTTTAATTCTCAATATGTAAAAAAAAACAGTTCCGTAGTTTCGTAATCCTGTATTTTGCTAGGTGGTAGGATTGTAAAATCATGATTTATTGGAGGTTATTTCTCCATTTAACCAAAAACAAAACCTTATATTGGCTGATTGGCTGTAGGCCTTTTGCAGTTAGATGCTGCCATGCTGATGTCTTTTGTTTACTGAAGAACTTGCTGTCTAGTAGATAAAAAAAGTGCTGAAGAACAAGCTCTTCAGTAAGCAAAGGAAATCAACAGGGTTATATCTAGCTGCAAGAGTCCTATAGGTCCTCACCAATGGTAATGGGAGACAATTAAAAAGGGTTAAAACACTAAACTGTATTGATGTGCCTGAGGGAGAAAGGTGTGCTGTTTATCTGTGATTTTTATAAAGAAAGGAATCTTATTTTTACAGTGAAGAACGTTGTACATATACATATAGTTTGCTGTTACTGTTTGCAGTATATTATGACACCCAGTGAAAGAGAGTTAATACTTAATGTAATAGCCATTGTTATATGCTGTAATTGGGGACTATTTCTCATCTAGAGGCTGTAATCTTTTTTTTAATTCATGATTTTTTTTTTTTTTTTTTTTTTTTTTGTATGAATGATTAATTTGAAAATCTCTATGTATTGGCAACAGCGCAAGTTTGGATGTAAAGCCAAAATGTAATATGTGCTTGCATTGCTTTTCTGTACAAGTATGTATTTATGTCTTTCCAAGATTTGTTATGATTTGTATGTAAGTTTGTTATATGTAGAAGTAGAAGCAATATAAGACTTAGACTGTAGACATGTTATCTCAAAACACAGAAATATTATTGGCGTTTGCACAGGGATGTCCTAAGATACAGTGTATCATACCATCTACACGTACATACATTAATACATTAATACCTAACAGAGTTGGTTTTTCAGATAGTTGAGATATATTTCAAACATTTTTGTATGGCATATACACATGTATCTATCAGATCAATGGAATTTTTAATTTTGATAGCAGATTTATTTATGCCTTGTTCTCTGTTGTACATGTATTTTGCTTTCAACCATCGTGCCTGTAGGTTGGGATATATGTTAGCGTTTGTTTGTCTGTTTAGAAGGCTTAGAAACAGTTCAGTGATCACAATGCAATGTAAATTAATTTATAACAAGCGGTAGATCGCGTGTCGCTTTTTAAAGACAAAATCAGAATGGTGGCGGCAAATGCGTTACTTCAAAATCCACTTATACTTGAACATAAAGGTTGCATGTTGCGCTCAATATTAATTGATAATCAGTAGCCTATAGCATCAAAGCACTTCGTCTCAAAGATCTGGAGGAGAAAAGTGAGAACATCTTGCAGTTTTGTTTACACTAGTTATTATCGAATTAATTACTTTTTCAACTATTAGTTACGTGGTATGCTCTAAGGACCAATGTATAAACATATTTTCCTTTCGCAGTAATCCCTGTTATATAAAGTTATGGCCCGATATCTTTGTGCTAAAGTGAATAGTTGATTGAATAAAACGTTAATTTTAATACAATTCCTTGTATTGATTGTGTTATAATTGTACGACCATAGGAAGCGCCGGTGTAACGTGACAGAGAGTCGCCCATAATAGAGTCTGCTCCCCTATCATTTGTACAGGTAAGCCTCGCCCTAGAGATTGACCCACTTAGGTCAGGCTAACCCTAACCATTATAACTAAATGGAAGGCATGCTTTGTGTCACACGGACCCTCAGTTTCGTTACACCGCGGACCACGGCTTTACCTTCTAACTGCTGAACGGAGGAATGGCGCTCCCCCCCCCCCCCCGTTTCTGATAGAGCGGCCTGCACCAGCGTTCTACAGACCCATTGGTTTTAAATTGGCAAAGAAACGTTATCAATTCCATTGAAACAGTTGAAATGTTAGTTGCTGTTCCCTTCATTCGAATAGTCCGTTTGTGACTTGAGTCGTATATATGATTTTGACGACTTGTGTGACGTGAACTCAGAAATCTGGTCGGAAGATAACGCGTTTCCAGGTGTGACAGCAATGACAGTCCGCTAGGAACCGTAGTCCGTTCCCCAATACTTTGTACAGGTGACATTCGTCTCATATGCTGACCCTAATACTTTAACTAACCCTAACTTGTACTAATTATATGGGAGCCCGGACTTCCATTCCTAGAACTACCATATATTCCTGTCACAGGAAAATTACTTTCACCAAATGTGACTACCTCTCTTATTTTATGTAGAGTAAGAAGAAACAAAACCTTTTATGTTTTTGGAATAGCTTTACGTGAATTATCAAAGTCCTCCTAACCTTTTTGGTCATATCTAAAAACTCGCTAATCAGGTAAAGTTTCCGGTGACAGACAGAACATTTCATGTCTTCATTAATTCAAACACGTCATGGCGCAAATGAAGATGTAATTGGACTCTGGTTTCCGAGCGAAAATCTATATCACTAATTTTCCGCACAGGGGAACTGTGAATTTGCACAATCATTTGTTATTTTGAAATGCTAAACGAGTTTAATGCCCTTGGGGAAGAAAAGGGAAGAAATGCGTTCTCGTGATTTGATAGTTCCAGGGTTATTGGGTGTAATGATTGAGCAGTCATTCAAGCTGTGATGATTCTTTCGGTGGTGATTATAACAGAAGTGGGCCACTTTTGTTCTTTCTTTGTGGTTTGCATTAGAATCCAAAACAAAAGCGCGTTTATTATGACCTAAAGTTCTGTATGACCAGAATGCAACCAAATGGTTGTCATAGGCTGGTGGTCACAAAGCCGGTATGACAGGAATAGTAGGCCGCTAGGGACCGCTGTCAGTCCCCTATTCTTTGTACAACCCACATACATATATCAACCCCATTACTCCGACAAATTCTAACCTGTGCAAATCATATGGGGCCCCCGACTTCCATTCCTGGGACTACGATTCCTGTCACACCAAAACTAAACCAAGCAGTTGTTATATTAATGTTGTCTGGGAGAAAAATAAACACGAGCAACGCTTGCTGCCTACGACTTTGATTGTGTTAGTTGCGCAGACACTTATTGCATCTCAACTCCCGTATTTCTGATGCAAAACTATTTTAAAAAACAGTCAGCACTGCGCTAGACATTTGACCAGGGTAGAATACTTCAAGTTCCAAAAAAATGTAAATATCCCATATCAACTAAACTAATTATTAATTTTCAAATTTATCGAAACATTGCTTCTTTGTAAAAAAATATGTTATCTCGTTTTTTGTGTGTTAATGTTAAATATACTATAGTGTATAACTGGCATTCATGTAAGCCATTCTTTCCTATTTTTCTTTCCTTTAATATTTTTTCTTTCCTTTATTATTATTATTATTATTATTATTATTATTATTATTATTATTTGGAGGTGGGTGCGGGTAGCTAAATATTATTCTTACATGCAGTTTGCAGTCAAGGGCCTATAGGGCCTACTAGAACGTGGCCTTTCCGACTTGTCTGCCAAATTTAAGTTTGCGATCTTTGTGAACAAGACCAGTATGTAGTGCACTGGAGAAAACCACAACTCTTTGTCGGTAATTCGGTTGTAGTTTATTAAAAGTCCATGACTCAAGGTACATAGCGGTAAAAGCTCGTGTGTGTTTGTTGGTACATATTTAGCCCATGACATATGTTCCCTGCTTGACGTAATTCACTCTGCATTGGCATATATCTCGAACTGCATCACACACGTATTTTTTTCAATTATACATATAAATTTATGAACCTACAGATATTACATTTGCTGTAATTGCTCACGGTGATCCGAATTTTACAGACGGTATATTGATTTCAAGACTTAAAAAACCCTTTAAATAAATGACACGATTAGAGTGTATTTTTGTTAACTTATGATGTCAGTTCAATGGAACGAAAAACAACCAAATAATCTTAGACTAACATAAAAAGACAGTTTCATGTGCTGTGTATATACAGCCCACTACTTATACTACCGACCGATTTACGGGAAAATATACCGAAAAAAAAACTTCAAAATCTGTCTGTTTAATATAACGTATGGAAGCCTATCTTGTGTGTGGAATGTTTAGAAGACACTGAAACACTTGGACCTGCTTTAAATTACTACGTGTTCGTATTAGATAAGTGATTTTAATTAGTTCTAACTGCTCTCAGAATTAAAGTGGCGTCACTTATAATTTAAGCAGCGACACTTGAAACCAATGAGGATCTTTTTGCCCACAGAAAAATTACATGTAAGTGTCATTTCCACACAAAATTCTATTGTACGATGCAAGTGTCATATGATGCCGTATTCTTGACAAAAACACTCGTAACGTAGACTTAGTGATATGACGTCAAGCAACCAGAAAACCAGGAACAGTGTTGAGTAACCATCTATTTATGACGTCATGAAAGCAAGCATGTTCTGTTATCTCCAAAATGTTGACACTCGGAATGTATGTTCAGTTACTGCTTCAGGATATTTTCTCACATGATACTGCATGCGTGGGTTGGTATCTGATAAAGCATAAACAACTTCTAGCCGACATCATCAATTAACGTTCTCGTATGCCACATTGACATTCCCGCCCTTAAAGATAAAAAGAAATTGAAAGTAAGTTTTGTTTTATGGGATTATGCAGTGCTCCGACATATTAAAATAAAAAAAAAAAATAGGCATGGCATAAGGGACACGTGAACGAATGGTAACACTTGTATTGTATTTGCATTTATACAACTTGCTTAAAACTTAAGAAAAAATGTCACAACAAATTGTACTTACATAAATCTTTAAGCTTTGTCTTTATAATAACTTATCCTTTACATTTAATACAATCGTTGTTATTTTAAAATAGAACACAGAGATCAATTTACTCTGACGTTAGTTCTGACGTCAAACAAGATTCCAAAGGCCGTGACGTCACGTCCATGTGTACTGTGTTTGAACATACGGACACACATAAAATCAACAAGACCATCACTGAGAATAAAATCGGAGTCCAAGTGACTCCAAACTTGAGTCCAGCAGTGGTGTCTAAAATAAGAAATAAGAAATGCCATCCCAGACCCCACAGGAAGGTCACAATACTATTGACTCCATTCACACATCCCTTGATTCATCTCTACAAGAGTCACCATGACCCCATATTGAGGAAATTTTGACTCCTTGGCACATCATGAACAAAACAACAACAACAGTGCCAAGGGGAGAGACAGCAAGTATCGTTCATTCCAGACTGTTGTGTTCTCAGATGGGCTCGAACCCACGTCCTCCCGCTCCACAGAGGGACACCCTTACCACTAGGCCATACGATCACATACAGTGTTGTAAGAGCAATAACAAACAGTTTGTAAATCTGGTAATAAACAGCATGACATATATATCTACCACAAATATACAAATGAGTGAGCATACTTCTCCACTGACATCCATTGGTAGGTCAAACCTACAACCTGAAAAACAAACCCTGATGGCCTGTATACCAACATATCACATAAAGGGTGCGGCAACTGAAAGCCCGGGCCAGTAATAATTAAGTGCACGAGTTCTGCATGCAGAATCACTCAGAAAACAACTTGTTCATGCATAAAACCAACTATGGCCAATAAAGTAATGTTATACTGACAAAGGATGATGAAAATTGTTCTCTCCACGCCGTCTGCTCACTGCAGGCACTCACTGCTATCACAAGTAATGAAACGAAGCTTACTGTCCAGCGAGCGAAAAGAGTCGGTGAAAAGGGTTAGCCAGACACTGGCCCCGATATTTTGACTCCGATTTTAGAGTCAGGTTGACTGAGTCCATGAGAGACAGGGGGTGATTGACTCTGATAAGAGAGTCTAAAGCTCTGGTAGTGGGGTAATTTGACCCTTATATAGGAGTCAAATTAACTCCATGAGGGTCAAGGGGTGCTGGACTCTGACCAGAGAGTCAAATGACTCCAATTTTATTCTCAGTGATGTTTTCTTTAGAAATCTTGTATGATAATCACCCCCATCCCCAATGCCACGGCGACACAAGAGGATAACACTTACAAATGTTTCTTTTCCGTTGCGCGTTGTCAAGTACATCTCCTCGTGGTAAGGATCCACCACGAAGGCCGGATCGTACGTCACTAGCCGACGATGCTTCACGAGAGAAGGACCCCAATCCCGCTGAGGACGAATGAAAGTCTTGTCCTGCAGAAAATTTAAAAAACAGGTTGCGCATTTAAATTAATTGAGGGCAATGCAAGGGAAAAACAGGGGCTAAGGAAAATTTTCCTGTGAAGTAGCAATTTCAGACAGTAGCGCTTTAAAATTATCAGCATAGTAGGTTTAGCATTTTCTTTTGCTTAAAGCAGATAGGTGATAACTTTTAAATGGTGATAACTTTTAAACCGCACCAAATGGCACCGTTTGCCCTCTAAAATACCAAAAAAAATTTGGGGCCTTTCAGCGGGCTCCGAACCCCACGCCAGGAAGGGAGTGGAGGGAGCGAGATTTGGCTTCGCATCCGAGTCCTGTTGCCCCCCCCCTTCAAATTTGCCTGGATCCGCCCCTGAATAATCATACCGTATTGAAAAAAATATAAAAATACATACCTGTGGTCTCACAATAAGGCAGTAGATTCCGTATAGAACCGGATATATGATGATTGGTCCGACAATTGCAAACCGGACCAGCCATTGTAAAACTTCACCGAAGTAACTAGGGTTTGGTTTGTACAAAATCCACGAAACCACGGTCACCACCTAAGACAAAAACAAAAATGGTCATGATATCTCTTTACAGTTAAACTTTGGAGAGAACGTTGGAAAAAGGGATGCTTATCACGACCTAAAAAAACAAAAACAAAAATGGTCATGATATCCTTTTACAGTTAAACTTTGAAGACAACGTTGGGAAAAGGGATCATTAAATCGAACTCATTTATCTTTTTATCAAATCATTTTAAATCTATAAGAGAGCATGTTATTTTATGTTCTCTAATTATTGTTCTTCACTCTTTAGGAAAAAAGTTAAACACACATCAAGAAGACTAAGATTTATCTGCACGTCAAAAGCGGATGCCATTTGCTGCAGGAGGGATCTATTATTACGATCACACTGATATATGAACGAAGCTTACTCCAAGCAGTCCAGGTGATATGATCATCCAGCAGAGTGTCCACCAGGGGGCAGTTATTTTCAAGAGAAGACTGTCTACCAGCATAACTTTCATGTCCTGGATGGCACGCAAAACTGGAGAAGGTAGCATACATAAAAGTAGACTAAAGTTACGAACTTTTTATTTACAAACTATATTTTCATTATAAATTGTATTTATCTGTCTTGAACTGGTATGGCATGTGTATAGTCACATAAATTATTCTTACCCACACGGGCTATTGAACGTACAGACAGTGGCGGATTTAGAGGGGGGGGGGGGGTCAGGGGGGGGCAACCCCCTCCCCCTTCCATTTCTGGTCCTCTCTTGAAATTAGAAGTTTGACTAGCTGAGTCATACTTCTAAACCGTACCAAATGGCACTGTTCGCCCTCTAAAATACCCCAAAAATTCGGGGGCCTTTATCGGCCCCCAAACCTCATGCCAAGTGTGTGTGTGTGGGGGGCGGCTTCGCATCCGCAGACCCGCCTTCAAATAATCCTGGATCCGCCCATGTACAAAGAAGCTAGAATGAGCACGTACTTCTTAACATAAAGCAAATACATAAGGGTTTCTTCCAGTAAACGTATATACATATGATAACACACACACACACACACACACACACACACACACACACACATTGTTTCGGTACTTACATATGACTTTGTACCTCGGGTAGGCCCCGTATACCCATGCCACTGCTATCAACTCAGTCAGTCCAAGAATGACCATTGGCCATCCATTGATGGCGCTGTCCACATAGTCCAGCAAATACAGGCCGCCCTGAAGGTGAAATTTCGTATGATGGATGGTCTACATGAAAAGGATCATGATCTTGCTTTCGATATTATGTCCTTGATTTTCAATGTCAACCTAACGATGTCATTCATTCATGTTATGGAAGATAGATAGTGTTTTGTATTTCGGCTGTGAACATAAATTTCTGTTACCAATTGGCGCCAAAAGAAATAGTGCTTTAATTACAGCAGCTATTTCTATAAAAACAGTTACAATTCATGTCAGATTTGACGGTGCGTGTGTCCTTATTGCCAATTTGCAGCAAATTTGCTGCAATATGGCTGCAAATTAGCAACGATATTTTTTTCTTGCAAACTCCTGCAAGCTCTTTGCAATGTTGCTGCAAACGTTTCATTTTGTTAGGGGATAGCATGAGTGGGTACTGTATGATTTGAGAAGAAGTGGTTAATCTTCATCATGAAATATCAATGATAACCTTTATGAGCGACCTTGACACTATAACGACCTTGCCCTTCTCTTACCTTGGTACACATAGGAAGGCCAAGTCCAAAGAGAACTAAGCAAACAGCCAGATGAACCCAGACCTTGTGTTTACGTATTTTGGGATATGCATCTAACAAACCAGTGAAAATTGTTTCTAACAGGGTGAACTGAAATGGAAAGGGGTAAAAATAAGTTTTGTAAAGCCAAATAAGATTAAATATATACATTAATTTACTGTACAAAAGTAGTGTAAATGTAGTGAACTAAATTCTGAGAAAGGACTGCTTAATATTTTCAATATGCATGAGTTAAAGATGACGATGAAATCGACATTTTATAATTTGGACGACCAAATCCTTTCATTCAACAAAGTTAAAAAGGAACTCTTAACTTAAGGCTAAATATAGGCCTGCATTATGGCCATTCACAGCTACCTGACTGTCCAAGCCAAGTGTAATGAGCATGAAGAACAACAGAATGGACCACAGGGGCGAAACAGGAATGGTAGCCACTGCTGACGGCCAAATTACGAACGCCAAACTCGGTCCTCCTTTTGCAACGTCACCGATGTCTACCCCTTGCAGCTCTGCCATGTAGCCCACGTAAGAAAACACCACGAAACCAGCAAAGAAGCTGGTTAGGCAGTTGCCAATCGAAACGATGATGGCGTCCCTGGAAACAGTCGTTACTTAGTGGAGAGCACAAGTTCTATAAATCCCAAGAAAAGTTTAAAAACCAATGGGGCTATAACCGCGGATATAAAGAAAACCTGTGGTTTAATTTCGTTTGTTTCGTTTCCAGGATAAAAGAAACAATGTGATTCTAAACCAAATTACCAAAGTTGTATGTTTAGTTCGTTAAGTTTACTGGAGAATTCTAATTCCGCCTGCTGTCTTACGAATAATGAAACTGAAGTTATCTAAATTGAATGACACTGAGAAATCAACTTACCTCAAACAGTTATTGTGGAACCTATTATAACTAGAGAGTGCGTGAAGTCCACCGAGTGACGCTGACAGGGAGAAAAATATCTGCGTAATGGCATCTAACCATACCTAAAACGAAAGACGTGCCCATCTGTACATGTAGATGTCAGTTATATATAGATTGAGTCTCTTCAATTTGTACGGGAGTAATATTTCAATTTATACAATGAATTCAAACCAACCAACCAACCAACCAACCAACCAACAAACAATAAATAAATAAATAAATAAATGCACTGGTAAAAAGAATGAAGGTTGTGTTCCCACTTACTTCAGGAGTCCTAAGTTTACTGATGTCTGCCTTGGCGATGTACCATTCCACGCCACTACGTGAGCCTGGCAGCAGAGTGCCGCGAATCAACAGTATTAACAACACCACGTATGGGAATATGGCTGTGAAATAAACGACCTGCAAGAAAAAGTAATATTTTATCCACATGTATATATTTAGGTTTTCCTTTTCCATTCTTAATTTATTTTATTTTTGATTTTCTTAAATTTTATTTCATTTTTGCTTCATAAAGGGTTGGTTAGGATTTTGTTTAGTCATAAACAAAAATCACAGAACCTTTACTAAATAGGTTGGAAAATTATGTAGTCTACAAAGGGTGAAATAATTTTAAATGATACGTAAAATGAATAAATAAATTATTAAAATGAAGCAGTTACCTTTCCTGATGATTTCACACTTCTGAACAGACAGACGAAGTCGATAATCCAGGCAAGAAGGAGACACAGACTGAGCTGCCAGCTGATACCGGTCAGGTCGCTGAATGAATCCAAGCCCGACCCTAACTGAAGCACCGTGTTACTAAATAATGATAGCATAAAAACAACGAATTAAAAAAAGCTTCAAGCTTTAAATCGGTAAGTAGCATGGCATTATTTAAGATGTCATGAGTAAAATAAAAGAAAAGAGAAGGAAAAAAACGACGTATGTCCATGAACAAATATGTTTATCTCGTAAAATTTAATTTGTAGAAAAGGATGCCGAAAAACATGCGCTTATCTAAATATTTTACATATTACGAAAAACCGGTAATTAGTTATAAATAAAATAGATTTTATTAAAATAAACAAATTGATCAGATGCGAACGAAACGACTCTCACACAGATTTGACTTAAATCTTACAAGAAATACTCCTCCGCGGCTGAAGATCGTGTAATATTGTACTGTTTCAGCAAGGTGTCGTTATAGACCCCCAGCAGAGTACCGTTGGCGTTGTAACACGTGCCATTGGGGTAAGGCACTTCCTGGAGAGTTGTGTTACAGCCTGAGATGTCTGGAAGCTTGGTGAGACACGCTGGAATAGGAGAACACTTATATTTGGAATTCTCACGTCTTGGATATTTTGGAATAAGTATGTGTCAGTCCCAAAAACATTTACTTTTATAGCAATTTCAGAATAGCACAGTAAGGTTTTTGGGGAGAAAAGAATATCTCTTGCTTCATTTTGACAAGAATGTAATATTAAACGGCAGTTATTCAAACCTAACAGACGACAAATGCCTAGCAGACGACATTCGATCTCTTATTGTCAGTCGAGTGTAACTTTCAGTTAGCATATTCCTATTATTTATTCATTATTATTAATTTCAATGTCTAGCAGACGACACTCTCAGCCGACAGTTACTTACTATCAGACGACCAGTCTCCGCAGTCCTGCCAAGGTAGTTTACTGGTGAAGGAAGCAAACAGGTAATACAGCGCCCAAGCCATCACGATGTTATAGTAGATTGCAATCAGTGACGAAGTCACCATCATACCTATCCCGATACCTGAAATCACGATCTCTCAATCAGATAAAATTACCTCAGTCCTACTTGATATGAATTAATCTGATGATTTGCATTCTCATCTAATAAATAAAAATGCGATGAAATAAAAAATTTCAAATTGGTTTGGTTGCAAGTTTTCTTTCATTTGCCTGTTGTACAACAGCGACATTAAATAGCTTTTAAAACGACTATGCCGTGGTGAAAAAGTTGTCAAAAATACATGTAACTTTCACTTTCACACACTGTAAGATGGCAAGAAAAGGCTTTGTGACGTCACAAAGGTCACATACCTTTAAACATGGGCGAGAATCTCCACACTGTTAGCGGTCCACTGCTGGAGAACTGCCCGAGGTACAATTCCAGCAAAAACATTGGCATCCCGATTAATAAGAGGCAAATTGCGTATGGAATCAGAAACACGGCTATGCATGGGAGGAAAAGCAAAATGTTCAGTAAGATTATGTGAACTTCCTTTAAGACAAAGAGACGGTTTTTAATGTAGAATCCTAGCTTTCCACTGTAGGTTCATCTTGTCAAAAGTACTGATATATGCAAAGAATATATGGATAGATGGAAGAGAAGCTGCAAACTATAGGCCTACGATTTCTGGCCCATTGTTTTTGATTCTACAAAGATAAAAAAGTAAATGCAAAATTAATTTCACCTTTAACGAATCGTGTACATCAACATTTTCAGTTGTAATATACTAATGAGTTGAAAGTCACTGATTACAAGGAATGAGATAAAATCATTCACGATGGGTGAAGAATATCGTATTAATTTGGCCGTCGATAGGTGGCACTACTTACCGCCTCCGTTCTTAAAGCACAAGAAAGGGAAGCGCCACAGGTTGCCAAGGCCGACAGCGTAGCCAAGACAAGACAAAAAGAAGTCACACTGATTAGACCAATTCCCGCGCTTTTCGTTTTCGTCGCCATCTGTGCTCTCTGCAATAAAAATGAAAGTTGACTTAGATTTATTAACTTAGGTATGAAGTATCTTAACATACGTATTTACAGGTGAACCTATAACGTTGTCAAAGCAAACAATGCTCCCACGGGTTAAAAAAACCATCAAAACAAAATGTTTTACCCAATTAAACTCTAACCAACTTTGTTTGGTATCCTTTTCGTCGTTATGTTGTCATGAACTTTAATTCCTTTTAGTCAAAACAGGACCGCATTAAAATGCATTTAAAGCTGTAGTTTTTCCCTACCTGTATCAAGATCGAAACTGTGAGATGACTGCAAAAAATAATTTGTTCATTAATGTACAATTAAATTTTTTTAAAATTTAGTATTAAACTGTACTCAAAGTTTAATCAATAATTTCATAATTTAAATTCTCAGTGACGTTTTCAGATAGTTCTTAAAACACTGAAAAATGCTGTAAAGTTGATAAAGTCCAATGATGATTCATTTTTCTTAAGGTAGGCTATAATTCAGAAAGAAATATGGTGGCCCATTTAAAATAAGATAAGATAAAGATTTATTTAGCCAATGTGAATATAAATTATGCAGTATTGGAAAGAAATGTCCATGAAAACGCGTCGTTGTGTAAAAATACTTAGTAAGAAATAAATTATGTTCAAGAGTTTGCATTAGAAAGGGATACAACTGAATAATAGAAGCTACATAAAAATCGTTTGCTACCCTTAAAATCTAAAAGCCTAGAGTTGCTTGGTAAAAAAGGTTGTGAGCAGGATGGAAATAGCTTCTTATGATAGATACAGAATACAACTTCTTGGCGAATTAAAAAAAGAAACGTACATTCATGTCTGGGTCGGCAGTCTCCCTCAACGGCGGGACACTCACTGGTACTATCTGTAAAAAAAGTAGAACACATTACATAACCATCTGTCACGCCCGCCAACAGTAATCTCAGAATGATAAAACGTAAACGCAAAAAACTGTCTATTTGTCTAAGGCCAAACAAACGATTTTGTCAACCGCCTACCAAAATGATTTAGTCTATTTATTGCATTGTTTTTAAATTTTGTTTTTTACTTCAAAATGATGATGTCAAATTTACAAAGAAAAAAGAAAGAGCGCGACATGAGAGAAAAAATGAACTGTGGGCATTGGATATGAAATTGTCAACAACAAACAAACAAACGGTGGCTTGGGGTGCTTTAGGCCCCTATTTCACACAGACCACGAATCCCACGAATAGCCAGGAATTGACATATTTCAGGATTCGTGAGGATTCGTGAGATTTTGCCAATTTTCTGGTCTAATTCGACACGCTCTACGATTCAGTTACGATACAGGTGAGATAGTGTTACGAATATTCGTGGGATTCGGCTGGGATCGCACGAATATTGTCCAGAAATTCACTACGATTTTTTGGAATTGGGAGTTCGTGGCCAAAACTTTGAACAGCTCAAAATTTTTGCCACGAATTCCCGATTGATCAAGAATTGCAAGAACTGACTACGATTATATACGAATCTGTTAAGAACTTCACGAACTGATTACGATTCAACCACGAATCGTGAAATTTTCAATTCCTGGCGATTCGTGGGATT